ACAGGTCAGTTTACACACATATACAGCTATTTTAAAAAGGATGATGAAGGTTCTGCACATTATTTACATGTTGCATGCTGCATGCTGCATGTTGCATGTTGCATGTTGCATGTTGCATGTTGCATGTTGCATGTTGCATGTTGCATACCAAACTTTAAATGTATTGTGGATCATATGTAAATAATGTCAGCACAGAAGAAAATTAATGCCAGAAAATTGTGCAGACAAAGTTTGATGAGTTCCATGATTAGTGTTGCAACCTTTTCGCTAATTGCATTCACATCACGCATAGTGCGTTTCTACCTTGGTATTCAACATATAACATGCAACAAAACTTTCAACCACCAAATCCACGGGTTAACTAGGGCGTAATATTTTCCCATTTTAGACCAGGTGCCGTTGAGTTTAATCCATATTCATGCATGTCTTCTTGTGCACTACTTTTCTGATCTGTCCAAGAGCGCTAGGACAGACGGATTGGGTTTTATTATATACATACTGAGAAATACTCACTTAAAATCTATTCAGTAAATTTTCGTTCATTCACTACTCTTAGTCAATCAGAGAGACAAACGACGTTTTTTCACCGTGAAAAAAAAGTCGTTCGCCGATCTGATTGGACGAACGATATTTTTGCACTGCACCGTTGAATGGTTTCCATCCCCAGGGTTCGTGCTACTCCTTAAACTCCTTGAAAACTCCTTGAATTGAAACGTTTTCAAGGCACTTGAAAAGCTCTTGAATACTACGATACCACAATTTCTGAAAGTCGGCCATGTGCAACCACCGTGTAAAGCTTGGCATATTTAGCTGAACATACTCCTTGAAAATTCATTTTTGGGTCCTCGTAAACTCCTTGAATAGTCCTTGAATTTTAAGTGGTTACCTCAGCACGAACCCTGCATCCCTGCGCTCATGGGCTTGATAGCTTTGTCATTGAGCGAAGCAGTAAATCTTGTCAGTGCTGTTGTTGTTCTTATTTTACTAAAATAGGTCGTTTTTTACTTTAAAAAGTAAGCAAAGGCATAAAAAATGAAAGAAAATAGATTAGTTACTCCTAATGACACTCTAGAGGATTATGTAGAAAGTCTACAAAACAAGAATACTAAGGGAAAAACCGAGCGAGATGTGAGGCTACTGAAAAGCTATCTAACATCACAAAATGAGGAAAGAGAAGTTCACGAAATAGAGCCACAAGAGCTAGATAGATATCTAGCAGAGTTTATTCGTTCGGTTAGACGAAAAGATGGAGAGGACTATGAACCAACAAGCCTACGTATGTATATAATAAATAAAATACAGCACGGAAAGTACTTTGTACAGTTTTAATTCACTCGCTCGAAGACTCGCTATTAAATTTCTCGGTATGTATATAATAGACAGAATACAGCATGGAAAGTGCTTTGTACAGTATTAATTCACTCGTTACTGCACAACTGTACGCGCGCACTTTCCATAAAGTATTCTCTATGTATATAGGTGTGTTTGTTTCACTTATTCATAGA